TATTTATTGCATGCCATGGGTTTTTATGGGTGCTAACAATAGAGTGATGAACAAGATAGGCAAGGTCCTTGCCTCATGGAGTTTTCGTCATAGTTTCAGGAGACAAACCACCACCAAGTAAATAAACAAGGCATGTTAGATAGTGACGTGTGCTTTAGTGCAGTGTACTACGGTCGCACGACACAGGGATTGGGCTGGAGGACCGTGGAGTATCTCTCACATTGGTCTGTGGAGGCATCTTGGCCAGAGACCTGAATACCAGTATCTGGAGGAAAAGCATTCACAGTCACACGACACAGGGATTGGGCTGGAGGACCGTGGAGTATCTCTCGCATTGGTCTGTGGAGGCATCTTGGCCAGAGACCTGAATACCAGTATCTGGAGGAAAAGCATTGCAGGCATCGAGCTCTCCGAGGGCCTGAAGCAGAAATGAGTTTAGTGTCGTCATAAGAGAGAGCAACCAGGATGGCAGGAACAGCAAGTGAGGAAGAGACAGGAGGTGAAATCCCAGAGGTGGAGGGGCCAGACCCTCCAGGACCTTGTAGGTCATGGCAAGGAGTCTACTTCCACACCCTCCACTTGCCCAAACCTATCCTTAGACCCTAAAGGAGCAACATACTGAGAAACTCCAGACCAAGAAGCTAATTTAGGAACTAAGGGAAAAAAATGTTACTTGGGGATTAAAAGCTTAAAGAATACATCAGAAAAACCAGAGGAAGGAAATACGCAAGCTCAGGACAGAGCCCTTCATGGACCCCCAGTGATCACAGTATTCTGAGCTAGGCACAACTGCTTGCTGAATTATTGCAAATTTAAATGCCTATTTGCAAGCAAAATTTTACCAAGCAGCCTCTAATCTCCATTTCATGTCTGCCCACTGCAGAATACTAGCACATCCCAAGCCTTCCCAGGATGCGCTCAGAAGGCTTGGCATCTCTTCTCTTTGTTTCTGTACCTTCAAATGTCTAGTAATGGCTTTGTGTTAGCATTAGCCTTGTTTGCTAAGTTGTGATAGCTTGAATGTGACTTTATCTACCATTTTACTCTGCTTTGGGGGCCTGTATATGGTATGGCAATCAGAGTTTGTGCAGTCCCTATTTCTGAAAGTGCATCTAAAACGCCAATTGTCTGTTAACTCTCTCATACTGAGGGCTGTTTTGAGACTAAGAGTCTGTAAAACAGATGCCTGGTCAGGATTAAGAAGATTTAATCAATGCTTTAATTTTCCCAGAGATACTTTTTTAGGCCCCTAGATTGTAGGAAGGAAAAATGCACAGGCATTCTGCTTTCGAAAATGATTTCTAATTCATCCTTTCCTTGACCTGAAGAAGGAAATAGAGTATTTAAAATCCCAATTCTAATTTGACAGTGATGAATGGTAACGGCACTGCAGCACAATCTCTCTGGGTGACCTTTAGATACGGTGGTTAAGAAAAGTCGCACTGGCCTTTGCTAGACATCAGCTTCCTTGTCTATAATGAAGGTATTGAATAAAACAGGCTTCCAAATCAGGGCCAACTATATAGAAGATCTTCACCTGAAAACACACACGCGTACACACACACAACAATAAAACTGTGACACACACATACATGTGTATGCGGGTACTTCAAAAAGTTCGTGGAAAATTTTGTATTATCTCTCAATTCTATTTTTCCATGAAATTTTTGAAGTACCCGCTCATATATTCAAAACAATAAAACCTTTTTGTTATACTAAAAGTATATTTGGCTTTATTGATTTATCTCTTGGAAAACTTATTTGTGCAAAATTATTCAGTAAGTTGAATTCTTGCTCCTCATTTTGTGAGGTGACCACATTTGGGGGTGGGGGGAGGAGGAACTGCTCCGAAGCCACTTCATCAACCAAGCTTGTCGAGGACGTCTTGACAGGGATCTCTATTCTAGAAACAGTGGATTGGGGGAGGGCATTTATGAAAGAGATGCCAGCCCCTAACACTCTATAAAAAGCTGCAACTTATTGTCTGTCTCTCCTAACAGGAAGTAAACCCTTGGGGCCAGGGCCTATGAGTATTTGGAGACCATTTCAAAAGTCTTGGAGCAAGTAGGGAAAAGATTGGCCCATTTTTCCCAACCCAACTATCTCTTCCCTTCCCCATTGGTGGGGTCTGAATGTGACACCAACTAGTGTGTGTTAGAATCCATCTCTGGCCCAGAACAGACATGACTCCTAAGAATCCTATCATGAAGACTTGGTAAGCATGAGAATCCTTCATTTATCTATTGTGCAAATCCAGATTTTTATTAATTGGATTTGTTTAAAACCAGAATTATTTGGACTAAAGGTATAGATCTCACATTTTCAACAGATTCCTACGGTTAGCACATCTTTATTGATAAGCTGAAAGAATATGAGGGTTGAACTAAAAAAATGGTTTAAAATTCTCATAGTCGTCTCCGCAATGCCCTGCTGATTGATGCAATAAGCCACAGCTAAGGTGGCTTTAACAACGGTGGACAACTTTGTATATATCATTTGTGTGTAAAAAAGACATGAAGTTTGATTCTCTTTGGAAAATCAGACACTAAAGTACCCCTAGAGCCCAGCAGGCTGTTACAAAAGCAGAGGAAGGGTAGACCCTTCCCATTGGCTGGGGGTGTTTATCCAGAGGTCTGGCTTTCACATAAAAGACAGGAACCCCTGAAGTCAGTCCCCACTTCCAGTCCAAAGGTGCAAGCCAAACAGCGTGAAAGGGAGATGGCAAGATTACTGATACTGCTTCTGGGTCTTATGGCCGTAAGTGCTGTGCGTGGAATATTTATGGAGAGACTTGCTTCCAAGAAGCTCTGTGCTGATGATGAGTGTGTCTGTAAGGACTTTTTTATGCTTTTCATTATCTTTCTATTATATAACTGAAAATATGTCCACTAACAGCATAAAATCTAATTGTCCATTGAGGTGAATCTTTTCCAATGTGTATGCAATTAGCGTTGTTACTCCTGCTCTGTATGTTCGGTGTCTTACTATGGAGAATTTATGTGGCTAAGATTTTGTTGCAGCTTTAATATCTTGGCTCTTACTCTTCTTGAATTGAACACCAGCTGTAAACTGGGAGGTATCAGTCACTCTGGCTTCCTAGTTTTCTTATATGCTTTGCGTTTTTTACTGTTATAAAATTCAGGAGCTTAAAATGTAGTCATTTCAATTTTCTTTCCTCCAGATACAATTTCTCTGGCTAGAGCTCAAGAAGATTACAATGCCCCGGACTGTAGATTCATTAACGTTAAAAAAGGGCAGCAGATCTACGTTTACTCAAAGCTGGTAAAAGAAAATGAACCTGGAGAGTTTTGGGCTGGCAGTGTAAGATGAGATTATTAAAAATCTACACACATCTTGACACATGTAGCTCTTAATTTTTCCTTGATTACCAATCTTCAACACATTTTAATGCTTAAAACTATCTGTTAAGAACAATGTAAGGATTATAGATGCTGATGCAAAAATTCAGGTATATTTGCCACTATTGCATTTTAAAGGAACAAAGATAATTTTACAACAAACCAAACAGTGTGGGATAATGTGATGTTTTGGCGAGGAAAAAAAGTCGAACACATTGGGGCTTGAACATCCCAGAGTTTGAATCTTATTCAAAAATGTCTGAGAGGATTTGTCGAGTAAAAGGCACATGTGTTGAAAGTCAATCTAAGTTTCAGTGTTCTTCCAGGAAACTTTAACACCCTCTTTAATTCCAAAGAGTCTGCTTTCTTTAGTTAAAGTGTACAGGGGTGGGCCCTGGGGAGGGATGGAGCAGGGTTGATTTGCTATTCCCATCTGCAGCCCCAAAGATAGGTTCTAAAGTAATGAAGAATTAAATTTAAATTTGAGTATCTGTGCATTTAAGTTGTTAAAAACTGAAAACTATGCATCCTTTAAAATAAAAGTGTCTACTTACTTTTTAAAAAAATTTACTGACTTTATTTATGGATTCCAAAAATATTTCAGGCAACTCACAGGCTGTATAAAATAAAGTAATGCTGAAGCAGTAAGACAGTAAGACTGGGCCACAAGAGAATAGATGCACCATTCCTGTGGGTTAACTTAGGCTAAAAGTGAACATCAAATTTGGCTCTGAGCTCCCTGGAACCCAGAGTGAAAAGGAGGCACTGGCAGTTACGTAATTCTCATTATCAGAAAAGAGGATGCCTGAGGGTTTCTTAGAAGACACGCACATCAGCTTTCTCCTGACTGCTACTCTTTTGGGCACTTAGGTTTATGATGACCGCCAGGAAGATGAGATGGGAATCGTGGGTTATTTCCCCAGCAACTTGGTCAAGGAACAACGTGTGTACCAAGAAGCCACCAAGGTAGTTCCTACCACGGTAAGCATCTGAGGTGACCAGAGGACACAGATTTGGGGGTAATATAGGCTGGTGTTAAAAATGCATCATGTAACTTACAAGATGCATAAAACAAAGCCCCAACTTCCAACGGTGATTTTTCCGAGATAATGAGGTTTGGGGGGACTATTTATACATATCTCCTGTTAATGTTGAAAGATTATGAACTTTCTCCATTCAATCCCCTTTTATTTTAGTTCACTATTTTTTTTTTATGTTTCAACTATTTTTTTTTCTTTTTTACTTTTTTTCAGCTTTACTGTGGTATTACTGACAAGTAGAAGCTGTATATATTTAAGGTGTACCACCTGTTTTGATATACACATGGTGAAATGATTGTCACTCTCAAGCCGGCTAACATATCTATCACCTCACATAGGTGTGTGTGTGTGTGTGTGTGTGTGTGTGTGTGTGTTGAAAGCACTTAAGACCTACTCTCTTAGCAAACTTCTAGTATACAATACAGTACCCCATTTGTTTTAAATGCAAGTTATCCTGGAAAGGAGTCCATGTCACAAGGAAAGAAACCAAGATACTGTTAACTGACACTTACTGATGGTTTGCATTTACTTACTAAAGAATCAGATTGGGGAAAAAATTAGCATCTGTTTTTGATAAAGTCAAAATATACTAGAAGAATCGTTGAATGCCTTTGTGTGTGTGTGGGGGGGGTAGATAGAATCTATTTAAGTATGAGATAAATTCATACTCTTTTTAATGCCCTGGGGTCCTGCAGACTCAGGACAGAAATAAAAGGTCCTTACTGAGCTTCTTTGCACGGCGGTTGTTTTGAAGCAGTTCTCCTGAAACTAATTGCTGTACTTCAAAGTTGCCCAACCCACGCAAATGCAACTCACTTGTCATTTCTTCTTAGCATTAAGCTGAAGTCTGTCAAATAACCATAAGGGAAGAGTTTGAGGACTTCCATTTTAAGTGGGTTTTACTTAAAGTAATAATTAGTTCATATTCTTTTGGGTTCAACCTTTACTTATTTTAAATCCAGGTTTCTCGTTGGTTAAATATGATTTTAAATAAAGAACCAACATCTGTTTTCTGGTCCAGCCTGCACAGCTCAACCTTTCTTGTTTTTTTTTTTTCAGGATATTGACTTCTTCTGCGAGTAAGAAATTAGTCAAAACTGCAGATAGAAAGGAAATACCAGAAATAAAGAAAAGAGCAAAAATAACCAAAAAGTGCATATCTCTAATTTCTGATTTTTGTTCCAAGAGTTTGTTCCAGGAGGGCTGGGGACTTGGGATTGGAGGTGGCAAGTAAAAAATGACTTTCAACTGAGTCTTGTTTTCTACTGGCCTGGTTGGCAACGTTTGGCTTGAATGGGTAAATTGAGACCAGAGAATTATTTTTCGGCCTAGAGAATCTTCTCGTACATGGGGATGCATATAGAAGATAGTTTACTTGTAGTTATTTGTAAAGAGCAATACCTTCCAGCTTTTTCACTCTGTATGTAAACTTGGTGGGTCAAAGGCCTTCCCTTTGGACGTGATATTTTCTACTTATTTGTACCTCTGGACAATTGGAATGTAACAACGTATCTGAAGGGGCTGTAACATCAAGGAGTATTCTAGTATTTTTGTTAGTTTTAATATTTGATGCCCTGGGGATGTAAAACTGTTGGGGGGGAAATAAGATTTTTGGACCCATAAATGTCTGGACTATGTCTCTAAATTTTTCTTTTAGACAAGTCTCAAAAATTATTTCAACTGAATAATGTTACCTTCTAAATGATCAATTTGCCTCTCCCCACATTTTAAATAAGTATATTTGTATATGGTGGGGGGGGCAGGTTATGAAAATATTTTTAATGGAATAGTTTCCCATTACTGGATATTATTCAAGCTCTAAGTCATGAAAAGATACAGCAAAAAAAAAAAAAAAAAAAAAAAGCCTGTGGGTTATTTTCTCTACTTGTGCAAATTCCTCTAGCCAAGTGTGATATATCATGAAAACTGATGAGGGGATGCAGGTTTTGTGGTCCTAAAGGGCTTATGAGTTTTTCTATATTTAACTGAAAATCTGCTTTGATTGTGTATGACTAATGTAATTCTTTTGATGTAGTTACGAGTTCTTGTTTGTTTACATGTAATTAAAATGCCCATTCTGTCCTCAAAAAACTTCATGATTTCCGAGATTTTTTTAAGAAAACATTTTTTTCACCCTGGGGTATAGAAAGCTGGAGGAGCCTGGGAATGGGCTTTATTTTTCAGTTTTCTGAGGTCTGTTGTTCCACAAGTGTGAAGAAGAGAACAGAGGGCATGTCAGAGACTTGGGACCCAGGTCATTTTCACCTGTGTCCACTGTGACTTTGGGGGAATTTTTTTTTATTGGCTACACTTTATAATGCTAATAAAGATGTCTATTTTTCAATCAAAGCATGATTGATTATACATATTTTGGGGGTACAACGTTGACTGCCATCATCTGTGTACAACATGTGTTGATCAAATCAATATTATTAGCATATTCATTATTACAAATCACAATTATTCTTTATAATCCTTACCCAAACTCTCCCCACCCCCCTCTCCCTATCCTCTCCCATGTCTAATAGCCATAGATTTGTTCTCTCCTGAAAGATCAATGTATTATTGTGTTTTTTCCTTCCTTCCTTCCTTCCTTCCTTCCTTCCTTCCTTCCTTCCTTCCTTCCTTCTTTCTTAGCACCCACTTACAAGTGAGGACAGGCAATATTTCTCTTTCTGTGTCTGGCTTATTTCAATTAACATAATTTTCTCCAGGCTCATCTGTGTTGCAGCAAATGGCAGAATTTCATTCTTTTTTCATGGCTGAGTGTATTCCATTGTGTAGATATACCACAATTTCTTATCCAGTCATCTATCAATGGACATTTAGGGTGGTTCCATATTTTGGCTATTGTAAGTAGAACATGGGAGTCCACTGCAGACCTTCTAAATCAGAACCTGCACATTAAAGACTGAGAGACACTGATTTCAGCTCCCTCCTCTCATCTTACAGAAAAAGAAATAAGCAACAAGCTAGAGAAGCTGGGAGATGAAGCAATTCTCCCAAGGCGAAACAACAGGATTCCAACGTTCCTAACAGGACTTATCACAGGCACTGTCTTGGTCTGCTACTGATGTCTACCCAGAGAAAAGAGGCTGGGTGGTGGTGGGGTGAGAGTCTGGGGGCAATGAGGCCTTTTGGGACCCATTTCCAGTTGAGGAATCTTTCTTCTTCCTTTCCTATAACAGAAAGGGCATCTTAGCACCTCTAAGAGGTTGTCAACTGCTGACATTAAAAAATAAATCTAAGTCTAGTGATCCTAGAGGGAATTCTAGTTTGTAGGCTTCCTTGATACCCCAAACTAAGTGCCATATATATATATATATA